CACACATACTTACATTACCACTGTCCCGAATCCCAGCACTTCTCTGTTCCAATTCTTTTGCGTTCATGAATATTTTCGTCTGGACAGAAATGCACCTAATATGCCCACATTTTTCCCCCCTTTTTAACTTTTGGCAGGTTGCGAGCACCGCCGTAGGGGATAAATCACTTTGATTCATTAAGTCCATGTGGGCCTTACATAATATGCCTATTTGTCGGTATTTGCGAGTGTGAACACACCATCTGGTTCCTATTCATTTGTTGGGCAGGACCAAGAACCTCTGTTTATCTCTTGGCACTCCATTACTAAGTAAGTACGTAATATGCACTGACTTGGACGCTTCATTAAGTACAAATCCGCCATCCAATTGGATCCAGAAAGAAATCTGTATTCAGAATCTGGAAGCAGCTGTCAACAGGAATGCTACCCAATAGAAGACACCCTTCCGAGAAAGACTAAATTTTGATCCCCATCAAATTGTACAAAGTATATTCATAGAGCAAGATTCAGACGTGCAAACTATCGTAGGTTGACCAATGTCTTCTTGCGACTTAAAAAAAAAAAAAAAAAAAACATAAAAATATGCCTATTTGTCGGTATTTGCGAGTGTGAACACACCATCTGGTTCCTATTCATTTGTTGGGCAGGACCAAGAACCTCTGTTTATCTCTTGGCACTCCATTACTAAGTAAGTACGTAATATGCACTGACTTGGACGCTTCATTAAGTACAAATCCGCCATCCAATTGGATCCAGAAAGAAATCTGTATTCAGAATCTGGAAGCAGCTGTCAACAGGAATGCTACCCAATAGAAGACACCCTTCCGAGAAAGACTAAATTTTGATCCCCATCAAATTGTACAAAGTATATTCATAGAGCAAGATTCAGACGTGCAAACTATCGTAGGTTGACCAATGTCTTCTTGCGACTTAAAAAAAAAAAAAAAAGAAATACATAAGTAGAGGTGCGTTTGTCATTCGCCTTGTGGTATTGGAAATATTGTGAACTTTTGCAATTTCTTTTGGTGAGGTCGACCTCTCCTTCGTTACGCACTCTAAAATAATACAAATAAATAACTCACCTATTTGCTGTTTCTGTGCCCTGGTCTAAGAAATACATACTTTGACGACATCTTGGTGCCCAGAAAACCTTTTGAAGTGAATAGAGGAACTTCTTTTCGACAAAGATAGTCTTCACTGGCACGAGTGGAGTATTTGGAAGTAATAGCCACTAGTATAGACAGAAAAAAAAAGGATTTTACTGTTGGGATTTTTCTAGACCTAAAAAAAGCTTTTGATACCATAGATCACAGTATATTATTGAATAAATTAGAACGATATGGCATATACTGTAAATGGATAAAAAGTCATTTAGATAACAGATAATCAGTATGTGCAGTTCAACAACATAAAATCAACCATGAATTTCTTCAGCAGAGGTGCAAGCAAAATATCATAAGAAAACGATTTCTAGCATTCCTTCAAGGGACTCTGTCCGTCCTGATTTTGTCGACCTTTAGTTGCGAAGTTTGTCTCCTTCGGGCATCCGTAGCTGAAAGATGGGAGCGAAACATGGCGGCCTTCTGTAGGGAAGTCGCACCCTAATATACAGTAATTAACGCTTACTTCACCTATAATTACATTTTTTTTAAAAATACACTGAAGTGATACATATTTTTTTACATATTATCGAAATTGTGTTTTTTTTTAATAAATTCTGAACACTGACATTTTTTTAACACAGTCCCTCTAACAGTATGAACAACCTAACCGTACAAAGTTATCACCAAATGTTGACTTCAGGTCTAACGAACACCCACTTTTTTTTGCGACCTTTGGCTAAAAGCCTCCTTGTACAGCTTCTGTCCAAGAAGAAATGAGCCATGATCATCTGATTTGCAGCAGTAATTACAAACACTCATTTGAAACTCAAATGTTGTCATTGGCCGAGTTGCCTTAGACATGGTGGCGCTTTTTTATTCAGAGGACAAGTATGACCAATTACATCAACAGCAGTGGAGTCATGGCAAAATTTAAAGGAGACACTGAGCACCCTTCCAAAAAACTCGCTTCAAGTAAATGAGAGGGAAAGCCGCGGGAGTCTATCTTGGAGTGGAAAGGCTAATCATCTTTTATTTGCTGATGGCAAACGTTAAACCCTGTGACACCTTCATTTGAGCTCCATTCGCCAATAAATGATTGGAAATATGGAAACTGTCTCATGGTCCGGTGCATTTGGAAATTTACCACGTGTCCCGATAGAAATTTGCTGTCATAGCAGCAGCACAAACAGTTACAGTGCAGCGTTTAGAACAGCAGCCAGAGGTGGCAAAGGTACTCGCACTCATTAATGGAGTATAGTAAAAGCACATTCTGTGAAATACACTTTAATAATTTTTTTTTTTTTTTTTTTTTTTTACTTTATTAACCCTTTAGGGGA